CAAACGCAGGACCCCAATAGTGGGACCTCCTTCTATTCTTTCTCCCCCTGAAAATCCCTTATCCATTTTTACCCCCTATTTTGGGTTGCAGCCCTATAATGAGGGTCTGGGGATCTCCCCCATGACCTTGGGGGTCCCCCTTAACTTGAGGGATCCCCATGACCCCTCCCTCTTCCCTTCTCCCTTCCTCCATTTTTTTTTCCTTCATTCTCTTCCTTTCCCAACCCAGTTTCCTCCTTGTTTTTTGGGGTGCACTCCCACTGAGAGTCTGAGGGGTGGCTTCCAGCCCCTTGGGGGGGTCCCCATGGCCTCTCCCTTTTCCCCCCTTTTCCCTCCTTTCTCCCCCGTTGCCCTTTCATGCCCTTTGTCCTCTTCTTCCTTCCACTTTTCTCAGGCCTATTTCCCTCCTTTTTTTGGGGTGCACTTCCATGGGAGGGGTCCCCCTCATGACCTGAGGAGTCCCTCCTGATTTGAGGGTCCCTTTGTGCACCCCTCCATCCCCAGTTGTCGCCTTCTCCGTTTCCCCCTCCTCCTTCTCTACCTTTTGCCCCTTTCTCTTCCTTTTTTTGGGGTGCACCGCCATGGAGGGTTTCTGGGGGTTTCCCCCATGAACTGGGGGATCCTTCTAATTCGGGGTCTCCCCCCAGATGACGGAAAGCTGTTCCATGGCAGCGGGGTGGGGGATCCCTTTGGCCCCCGCTGCTACAAGGGCGACGTGATGGGCTGTGGGATCATGTTCCCTCGGGATTACGGCCGGGACAGCGAAGGTATCGTGGAGCTGGGACCCCCAAAGTCTGGGTGGGCCCTGGGGAGGGTCCTTCACCCTTTTCCCTGTCCCAGGTGACAGCGATGATGCCTCGGAGCCCCCTGAGGTGAAGGTGAAGGTGCGCAATGTGATGTACCTGGAGGAGGAGGAGGATGAGGAGGAAGAGGAAGAGGAGGAGGAAGAAGAGGATGGGGAGGACATGGAGCAGGAAGGCAGGAAAGTCGTGGTAAGGGTGGGGACACCTCACCAGAAAAAAAAACGGTACCCTGAAAAACTCCTCCACCCCAAAATTCTTCTTTGTCCTCCACTGGGATCCTTTTGAATCAGTCTGGGGGCTCCAGCAGCTGGATTTTGGGAGGTTGGGGGATGTCCCACCCCCACTCATATTTTAGGATGAACCCCCGTTTGTCTATGATCCCCACATGTATTTGTGCCCCACCCCTGGACCCTCCATCACCCCAAAATCTCCCCACAACCCCCACTGGCTTCTATTTACCGTGACTCACCTCTTTGCCCCCACTTTTGTGGAGATTGGCTTCTTCCCGCCATCCCCTTATAGTTTGGAGTGACCCCCAGCATGTCTTTGTGCACCCTCAAAAACTCTCCCCAAAATTCCCCCTTCACCCCACTTTTGTCTCATCTTTCCTTGCCTTATTCCCCCCTGTACCTCTGTTTTTTTGGGGGTGATGGGGTTTCCCTGGCCCCCTCCTAATATAGGGGTGACCCTCCCAATTTGTGCCCCCCAGGTGTTCTTCACGCGGAACGGGACAGTCGTGGGGCGTAGGGAGGTTGGGGTCCCCCCTGGGGGTCTCTTCCCCACCGTGGGGATGCTCAGCACTGGCGAGAGGGTCAAGGTGGACCTGCACCCCCTGAGCGGATAAAGGGGGGGCCAGCGTGGGACTCCCAAAACCTGAAACCCTCTGGTGCTCCTGGACCCACCCTGGGCTCTCCCAGTGCACTGTAGGGTGTTTGCACAACAATGGAGGCCCCCCCCCAAGGTGGTATTTGGGGTTTCACTCCTGCCCCCCCCCCCCATAATTTTGCCCTTTGGGGACTCTTTGAGGGGGGGTCCCCTAATTTAATCCCTCCATTGGCCTCTCAAAAGTACACCACTGTGTACTTGCCCCCCAAGGTGGTTTTTGGGGGTCTCAACCATGGCCTCCACCATATTTTTGGGGGGCCCATTCCTGCCCCACCCCCATGTTTTTGGGGGACTCAATCCTGCCCCCCCCCAGTTATCCCAATGACTGCTTCAGGTGGCTTTGGGGGGTCTCAGTCCTGTCCCTTCCACCACTGGTGAATCTTGTGCACCCCCCAGAACCCCCCAAATCACCCTTTTGACTCTCTCCAGTCACCCCAACCCCTTCCACTCCACTGACTCTCCAGTGCCCCCCCCAGATCACACCTGTGCCCCGCCATCTCTTCCAGCGCTTCACATTCTTGTGGGGCTCCAGGGGGCAGAATTAGGGGTTCCCCCCTTCATGAATGTAACCCGGCCCTTCCAATCCCGTGGGACCCCCCAGACCCCCAGTTCTTTGGTGGGGGCTGGGCTGGTTTTGGGGTCCCCTTTGACGTTTGCACATGAGGGGGTGTCCCCATGCCCCCCCTCATCAAATAAACCCATTTCTTACACCAAAATAAATCTGGATTTATTTGGGTTCTCCCAGGAACCCCCAGATAGCAGGGGTGTCCCTGTGCCCCCTTTTCTACCAGCCCCCCTCTCTTGAGAGGGCAGTTCAGGGGGTGCAGTAGGTTTTGGGGGGCCTCCAAGAGGGGGTGGGAGGGTCTGGAGAGTGTTTTTGAGATGTTGGGGGAGGGGTCTTGCAGGGAGTTTGGGGAGAAATCCAGTAGGACTTTGGTGATGAAGATGGTGGTGAGGGTGATTATGGGCATCCCCTTGTGCTCTCCCCAAATCGGGGGTGTCGAGGAGTGTTTGGGAGGTCCAGGGATGGTTTTGGGGAAGCCTTGGGGGGGTTTGGGGGTGTTCAGGACCTTGGTGATGGTGATGATTATGGCAAGGGGTTTGGTTATGTGTGTCCCTCTGTCCGCCCCTTGGAATGGTGGACTGGGGGTTTTGGGCATCCCCAGACATTTTTGGAGGTCCCAGGGGGTTCTGGGGGTCCCTCAAGGTTGTGTCCCCAGCAGGACCTTGGTGGAGATGCGGGGGGAGTCCCACTGGGTTTTGAGGGTGCCCCTGAGGATCCCTGCCTCGGGGGACTTTGGTAGTCCCCAGATGGTTTCTGGGGTCCCGGGGAGGTCCCTGGGGTCTCTCAGTTCCGCGTTCCCAGCAGGACTTTGGTGACGAAGGTAACTATGGCCCTCGCTGGCTGCTCGGGGTCCAGCTCCGCAAACATGTGACATGCGTTGCCCCCCCCAGGTGCTCCTGCCTGCTTGGCCACGAACCCGAAAATCCTGGGGGGGCCAGCAGGGAGGAAGGGGCAAGGCCAGAGTCAGATCTGTGCTGCCCTCCTTTCTGGGGGATTCAGTTCTGGGGGTCTCTCCATGTACCTGGCTGCGGTCCCGTCGGGGTTCATCCACCTGGGGGGTTAAAGGCGTTGGGAGGTCTGGGAGGGTTTGGGTGATTGGGGGTCCCCCTGTGCCCTCTGTGTGCCCTCCCCTCACCTGCGGTCCTGGGGGTCAGTGCCGCAGTGGGTGATGCTGCTCACAGGGTAGTGCCGGCGGAAAAAGAGCCTGGGGGCGGTGGGCACAGGTGAG